GGCTTATTTAGAAGCTACTTTCTTGTAATATTTTTTTCTAAAACGATACTGTTAGTAAAACGTTTGAACTAGTGACTTGGCAAAAATCTGTAGCGCAGGCTTGAATGACCTACTAACTATTTTGTATATCTTGTACATCAGCTTACATCAGTTAGATGTTGCTTTTCATCATATCTTGAGATACTGTTGTAACTGACTAGGGCAGTTTGTAAAAGAGTGTTTCTAATGTTTATTTGTTGTTGCATTAAAACAAATCTTGATTTGTGAGAACAAAGGATTGCTGTATAAAACATTAAATGCATGTAATTTTGGACAGGGCTGTATGCAAATTAAAAACTAAAGTTGTGAGAATTCTGCAACCCTGCATTTCAGTTTTCCTTTTTCATTATAGATGTTAGTTAACAATGGGTGAAAGTCAGGTACAGTGTAGTCACTATGTTTCTTGATTTCTTAGGCATAGCTAGGAGCCAAAGAATGCCCAGTTGATCTCATCTACTCTTTTCTTTTTCTCTTCTTTGGCCCACTGACTTTTCTCATTATCCTTCTATACATCTCATCCTCCATTCTCTTTCAGCATGATCTATGTATGCCTTTACATCTCAACATTGCTAAATGCTGCCATTCCTTAATGCACTAGAGTTTGGCAATAGAATTAGAAGCAGAATCCAAATACTGATGGAAAGCTGACTGGATTAATATTTGATTCAGCATGGACGGAAAATGAACTTATTTGATGTTGTAAAAGACTTTAAGTAGGGGAGAAAAATTTGAGCATGTAAACCGGGTGTAAGAGAACACAAAATCTTCTATTTTGCATGAAAGCTAATATCAAACGCAGCCAGAAACGTTCAATGGATTCTTTTGTATTCAAATACTTTAAAATCCAGTGAAAAAGTCTAAATATTGGAGGTTACCAAATGTAGAACATTATTCCTTTACTTTTTCTTATAGCTCTGCAATGAAGGCAAACTTTAACAATCGTGTTTGAGAACTCTTAGAAAGTTGAAGACAAACTAATGAGAATATGCATATATGGTGCCTGGATATAAGAGTGGGAAAACAACAATCCTGAGTTCTGGAAAAAAATGTTGGCATTAGCATTTCTAATAGGCTGTGTTGGAGTCCTGCTTCTTTTATTGGTTTGGAGTTGATTCCAATCCTTGGTTTCTCAGATGCAAGAGATAGTATAATATTCATACATATATAATATTGAAGTAATACATAAAGTACTTGTGCTGGATTTTGACTATGTAACAAAATACTAGATGCCCTTACTTCTTTAAATTGTTATTTTTTCCACTTGGATGAATTTAGCTCTCCTATCACATTTTCAGAAAATTCCATCCTTTGAAATGGGAAATAGATTTAAATGCAAAATATAAGACAATTATAATTAATTTATATACAATATCCAGTATAAAATCGGAGAACTTGTTAGAACTTTGAAATCTTAGGTAAGAATCAAAGACCAAGGAAGTATATTATACTGAGAAGCAGAGAACTTGGGTGCTGATTACTGAGGATAAGAAATTGAATGGTTTTGGATTTTAAAAAAACCTTTAACTGATTCTTCTCTTTACTATCATTTCTTATTCAAGTATGAAGACTAGTTAATAAGTTGTCAGTTATTATAGTGACACCTGTTTCTTTGCTAGAGAGTAAATTACAGATTTTTACAACCCTTGTAAGGAACAGTCAGGTTTGACTAAACTATAAGGAATGCTGTTTTCACAAAATACCATTTTGACCATGGACGTGTTTTAAGTTTAAAAAAAAAGTTTTCCTGAAGTTTCATGTTAACGACATTGTAAAACCTTTGTGCCTTGATTAACTGCAGAAGATGTCTCAAGCTGAAGGACAGCAGAGAGATTTGGTAAGAAGTATTGAATGCCTTCCTGCCTCCGGTCATCTTTCCTCCTTAGACCAAGACCTACTGATGCTCAAGGCAACCTCCATGGCAACAATGAATTGTTTAAATGATTGTTTTCACATTCTCCAGCTGCAGCATGCATCACAACAAAAGGGATCCTTATCTACTGGTGAGTTATTATCTTTGCTCTGTTTGAATAAAAAGGTTAAAAACAGAAGTTGTGCATTTTATTTTATTTTTCTGGAAACCTCTAAGTCAGGGGTGTCAAACTCAAAGGCCCGGGGGCTGAATCTGGCCTGCAAGGTATTTAGATCTGGCCCGCAGGGCTGTCCTGGAAATAGCAAAGGACCTGCCCGCAGTACCTCTGCCAGCAAAAACGGAGCTAGGAGGGCTGTCTGTGGCCCTCCCGAGCTCTGTTTTTGCTGGCAGAGAGTTGCAGGAGGCCGTCACAGCCTAAAACGGAGCTCGGGAGCCTGTTTTCTCTGGTAGAGCATTCGGGCCACCACAGGTGCCCCCGACACAAGTGACGTCGAGCTGGCAACGCCCATCCCAGCCACGCCTCCCACGCTCCCTGATGTCAAACAAAACGCTGATGCGGCCCTCAATAAAATCGAGTTTGACACCCCTGCTCTAAGCAATCTCTGGTGTATTCCTCTTCAGAAGGTGGATTAATTGTGGGAATTTACTCTCAGTGTAATTTGGACTTATATTTGGAGAGAAGTTTCAGACAGTATTTATAGAGAGCAGTACTGATAAAACAAAAAAATGCACGCCTTAAATTAATTGCTTAAGCAGTCATTTGCTAGAACTGTAATAGCTGTAATCTTTTTATCTCTGTTCTGTAATTTGTCTCTGACTTTATGGTCGAAGTTTTGCATACACTGCCTATTCCTAAAGACAGATCACATTAAATCATGTCAGATCACACTAGAATTACCATATATGCAAACATATTTTAAATGAATGGGGAAAAATTGCTGAAGCAGAATTTATTTAGTAGACCCATTAAAGCCATCGATTGGATAAAGCACTCTTCATAGAAGCAAATTTTCAATTGCTAAAATTGCTGTTTCCTCAAGTAAAGCCTGTCAAACAAGGACAAGATATGCTTTAGCAGTTCACTAGGATTTGGTAACTTAGAAATTATCCACTCTCTCTGCTGACATTTGGTTTTCTAATAGGCTTATACAAAAGGCTGCGGGGCCAATGACTCATAATTCAGTTACACAGTTTTGTTCAGAATCCTGTAATATTTTTGACCCATGAATTGAATTTCTGATTCCAAAGTTGACTTCCAGAGGATAAAATCTTGAATTCTGCATCATTGAGTGGAAAGGCTGTGTAAAGAGATAATACAGAATACATGATGTATTGTTTCAAAACTGCAGCCTTTACTTGAAGTCCACCCACTGCCCCCTAGTGGGGAATGGTGTAATACTTCCTTATGTATAATTGTTGACATGTCTATCTCTGAAGTCGTTGTAGCACAATAAGTATGATTTCATCCTTAGCAGGGGTGAAATGCTCCCGGTTTGGACCGGCTCGGGCGAGTAGGTAGCGATGGTGGTGGGCAGTTCAGAGAGTAGCAAAAATCCCTGCCCCCACCCCCCATGCCCAGCTGAGCCGTGTGACCATCAGAGGCTTTTTTTCTTTTAAATGCCTCTCACGAGCCAAGCTCTGACGATCCCAGCTGAGTTGCCTGATGGCAGAGGGTTTTTAAAAAACCCTCTGACGATCAGGCAACTCAGCTGGGATCGTCAGAGCCTTTTGAAAGCATTTTTTTACATCGTTTTACATGTAAAAAATGGTTTTAAAAGTAAAAAAAAAATTGGTCACGCCCACCCAGTCACATTACCCCCCCACCACCAAGCCACGCCCACAGAACCGGTAGTAACAAATTTTAGATTTCACCACTGATCCTTAGTATCTGCACCTTACTCTATGGCACCGTGGGAGAAGAATTATCATGATCTTTTCAGTCAAGGTTCAAACCTGGGTATAGGACAACAATCCCAATGATAGCACCGGTGGACAATCTGGATAAGGGCCCTTCCTGGTCCTCTTAGAGATTTACTATGATTTCTGATTTCATCAATCATGATATTCCTCAGGACTACCTGCACTGGAGCTCTGCTTCTGTTTCTTCCTGAATGATGGTTTAATCAGCAGTAGTCCAGGAAAAATGATCTTCTGCTCCCACTGGTTGCTCCAGTGCAGGATACTACAGAGTTCTTCTCTCACCCCTTTGCTGCTTAATGTTTACAGGAAGCTATCAGTGTGGGATGAGTTGATCGTAGTTGCAATGATGATACCCAAATATATTTTGACACTCCCAGCTAAATCAGTAATGAAGTGGAGGTCTTTGTTCAGTCCCTGGGACTGTTAGGATTTGGATGGGAAAAGTTTAATCCCAGCAAGGCTTGAGTTTCTATTTACCCTTAAACCATTTGGCACTCCATTCCAAATGGTAACTGGGGAAGAGTAGCAGTTCTACTGAAGGACTAGTCTACAACTTGGGAGGCCTCATAGATTCACTATTATTGCTAGACAGATAGGTAGAAGCTGTAGCTAGGAATCCTTGGCTAATATGTCAGTTACATCATTTGGCAACATTTGGTGCCTCTGGACTAGATTGCTGAAATTCACTCTTAAGCATGGCTACCCTTGAAAATTACTCAGAACCGGCAGTTAGTTGGTCTGTAATGCTTCTGCCCACTAGGTGAGCGAGAGCCACTGTATGCCCAAAATTTGGGGCTGTGGCAGGGGTGAAATCTAAAATTTGTTACTACCGGTTCTGTAGGCGTGGCTTGGTAGTGGGGGTAATGTGGGCGTGGCCAACTTTTTTTTTTTTTTACTTTTAAAAGCATTTTTTCTACAACCTCTTCGGCTGAAGAGGTTGCAGAAAAAAATGCTTTTAAAAGCCTCTGACAATCAGGCAACTCAGCTGGGATCGTCAGAGGCTTTTAAAAGCATTTTTTCTACAACCTCTTCAGCTGAAGAGGTTGTAGAAAAAATGCTTTTAAAAGCCTCTGACGATCTCAACTGAGCCGCACAATCATCAGAGACTTTTTTTTTTTTTACTTTTAAAAGCATTTTTTCAGCTTATCCAATAGCCATCATTGGTAGCAACTCAAGCCCTCAAAAATAACTCTACATGTTCCCCCAAATCCACTGCATAATATACTTCCATCGGTTCCCCAGAGAAAGTCAGGGTCGCAACCGGCAATTGTTCCCATAGTTCCCAAACCCATCCTGTGCCAAGTGTCCACTGTTTAATGTTGCTTTCGCCAGAGCACCCTTCTGTCAACCTCCCCTTTCCACCAGTGGGCTGGCACAGCACAGTCGAGCAGCCGACACACAACACAACTGTCTGGGCGTGATTGAAAACATTGGTGATTTTGTAGCAACTCGGGCACTTGACGTCCATGAAGTAGGAGTTGGGGCTCTGCAGCAGGCGCTTCTTCTTGTGCTTCCGCTTCTCCTCAGGGGAGGAGTGCAGGAGGTCTTTCGCGAGCAGCATGTTCGCGTGGAGGCATCTGTGGATAAAAAGCCTTCCCGTAGATCAGCATAAGATCCAGGAGAAAACAAAATAATTCTGCTTCTCTTCATGGATGCCTATCCTATAAAAACAGTCATCCACTGGAAATTCTTAGAGTGTCCTTGTTCGAAAATCTTTAAAAACTGAGCTATTCAGAAATACATTCAGTGTACCTATTACTATTCTTATCTTTGATTTTAATAATTTATGAATAGAATAGAATAGAATAGAATAGAATAGAATAGAATAGAATAGAATAGAATAGAATAGAATAGAATAGAATAGAATAGAATAGAATAGAATAGAATAGAATAGAATTCTTTATTGGCCAAGTGTGATTGGACAAACAAGGAATTTGTCTTTGGTGCATATGCTCTCAGTGTACATAAAAACGCCAGATACATTCATGAAGAATCATAAGGTACAACACAATGATAGTCATAGAGTACAAATAAGCAATCAGGAAACAATATCAATATAAATTGTAAGGATACAAGCAACAAAGTTACAGTCATGCAGTCATAAGTAGGAAGAAATGGGTGATAGGAACGGTGAGAAGACTCATAGTAATAGTAATGCAGCCTTAGTGAATAGTTTGACAGTTTGAGGGAATTATTTGTTTAGCAGAGTGATGAAAGGCTTTGATAATTTTAAGGAATATTTCTGTATTATTGTTGTGGGGTTTTACACATTGCTGGAAATCAACATATAGTATAGTGGTATTTAAGACAAATAAATGCTTTAAAAATGTGTCCTTCAAGAACTAGAATGGGGTAATATAAAGCTTTGCCTATATAGTTTTGTACTTGTTGGGACTAGAATATCAAAGCATGAGTAGCTTATTTATAAATGATTTTGCTTTTTCTTCTAAGTGGGTAAGGATATGTTACCTGTCTGGCATTAAGTCATATAATAAAGTCCATTATGCAAACTGGCCATCATGGCATATTCAGTTAATAGTGTTTAAGCCAACCATGACTTAATGTAGTCTGTAAACCAGGTCATAATTAGTCTGGGATGGTCTTTGGATCCCAGTTCTTGGAAGATGTTTCTTTTTCAAGAACACATTTAATTTATGTAACTGAATGCACTTGAATTTGTGTCTGTTTTCTATGCTTTAGAAGTTTTTAATATGCCTATTTAAAAATATAGGGATTAAAACAATGCCCACCATATAGAAATGAGATTATTATGCAAAGTGATAAGTGTAGGGATTTATATGCAAAGTAGGACATACACACTTCTCAAATAATTAGAACTCCTGAGAGACTTCACTGCAGTTGGCTTGAAGTTTAAGTACTGTACATAAAATATGTTCAATCTATCCAGATAAGTACACTATTAAGTGCATTTTTTTTAGTGAATAAGCTGATGCAACAGGATGTCAGTAGTGTCTGAACCCAGATGTTTCTTTATTATCTATATGCTTCTTTTTAACAGGACTTTATTAGTTTATGTAAACACTATCGTTTGAGAACAGAATGGAACATTTTCATTATTGATAAGGAAATGTATCCATTCAGGAAGACTGACTGGGGGTGGAGAGGTAATTGGAGATACCAGCATCATTACATAGTTTTTTTTTAAAAAAAATTTCAAGCAACTGTAATTTATATAACAGAGCAGACCATGGTGACATTCTTTTTGACTTAAACTTGCATTGTTCAATTTTGGTTATATTTCCTTCTCCCTGTTTTAATTACATGCCTACAATGTTGATTCAGCAACCTGTCTTAACGATATTATATAACAATCTAGTCTTACTGGGTTCTTCATCTAGTGTCTGATTACATCTTTCATAACCCCATCTCCTTCTAGTCGGGAACACGTTATGTGTCATCATTGCCCAATCATAAGCCTCATTCTAATGAGAAGAGAATGAGAAGGTGGTGTTATTTTGCATCCACCTGTTTTCTCATTGCTGCACAGCAAGTTTTGGTTGCCTCCAGTGTTTTGGAAGAGAGGGCGTGACACTTTTGAATGGCAGAAGCAATTTTAGGAAAAGCTTCAATTCCTCAAATATGAGCAAATTTCAGCGTAAGGTCTCTTTTCCTTCAGGAACAACAATCAGCTGGTTGGAACCAAAGATTTCTTTGCCAAATCACTTCAAAAATGGAGCTGATCAGAATTTCCCTGCAGATCAGACGAAGCCAGAATCAGTCAGACAGGAACAGTCCAGTTCTGAATCTGATCAGCTAACCAGGGTAAGCTTTAAAACCCTTAGCTCTGCATGGTGGTTTTGTTTTCTCCTGTTTTGTTTTTAAAGAAAAGGACCGCTCTTGGAATATTCAACTAGGGTGAGAAATATCAAGAAAAGAACAGACCCTGTGTGACTAGAGTTTAAACTTAAAATAAGTATCGTTTCTTAACTTTTTGCTGTTCTTTTAAGCAATAAATGTTGCTGAATATTGGGACAACTGAACATTAGTGAAACTTTAATTAATGTAGCTATCTATTGTTTTAAAGTAATATGTGGGTTAAACCTGAAAACTTTCAAGGAATGCAAATCAAGAACTTCCAGAGGAATTTAACAGTAATTTGCTTTGCTTGACCTAGATAAAGGGATATTTTGTAATATTAATGAGCTTGGGAGATCACATTCCATCACTACATTTTTATTAAAGGCAAATGGAAAGGATGTCCTAAAATACTAGGTTGTTCTAAAATGCTAGGTTATTGAGGCAACTACTGTATATATAGATGGATATAAACTTTTTTTGGCATGGCTGTTTATTGCAGGAATTGTTTTCAGAAGCGTCCCTATGAGTAAACTTTATATAGCAAGGGAATTTATTATTCCTTCCTTTCTCTATCGCTAGACATAAATCAGTGGAGTTCTTAATTAATTAATTTATTTATTTGTTTCAATTTGTATACCGCCCTTCTCCAACAGGACTCAGGGCGGTGAACAGCCAGAATAAAAACAAAACATACAAAATTTAAAAACAGTTTAAAATAATTAAATATTTTTGGCTGCAGTTTAAAACAAACCCAATTTAAAATCAATTAAATTTAAACCAAAACTGTGGGATCAAGCCAGCCCGGCTAGTTGAAATAAATAAGTTTTCAGGTCCCGACGAAAAATCCAAAGGTCTGATATTGTACGTATCTCTGGGGGGAGATTGTTCCAGAGGGCGGGCGCCGCCACAGAGAAGGCTCTCCCCCTGGGGGTCGCCAGCCGACACTGTCTGGCGGACGGCACTCTGAGGAGGCCCACTCTGTGCGAGCGTACTGGCCGGTTAATAGACAAACAGGCATAGTAGATAATGACGATCTTGCTCGGGTAGTGCTCAACAAATGCCAGCACTTGAAGGGAGGCTGCTGTTTATATATCTTTTTTCTCATTTTTGCTCGTTTCTGCTTGTGATATAATATAATCCAGGAAATGGTCACTGTCTGTGGCCCTTCTTGCTCGTAGCATTTGCAACCACCTAGAAGAGCTGCACTGGAAAAGACTTAATGCCCAACTTCTCCTTCAGTGAAGGAGAATTCTCCAAACATTCCTAACTTATGAGCATAACAGAGCTGAGAATGCAGCTTCAGATCATAATATAGTGTGTAGTAAACATTTCGAAGAGAAGGGCGAGTAAAAGTATACTGTAAGTAAATAATAAAAGTTAAATAAATTATTGTGGGAGGATAAAAGTAGAGGATTTATTGTATATAAAGCCCTCCATGGCACGGGCCCAGGGTACTTGCAGGATCACCTCCTACCGGCTTCTCACCGCCCAGTGCATTCACATAGGACTGCCCTCCGGGTGCCATCAGCCAGACAATGTTGGCTGATGGCGCCCAGGATGAGGGCGTTCTCTGTGGGCGCACCGACCCTCTGAAATGGGTTACCCACTGAGCTCCAGACTGCCCCCGACCTCCGCTCTTTCCGCGGTGACCTGAAGACATGGCTTTTCCAACAAATTGCCTGATCTGCTGGGAGTCTTAGTTTTAACTTCTTGGGGATTTTAATTGGATTATTTTAGTATTAATTTTATTGTTCCATTGTTTTAAACAGCGGCATATAAGTATGAATAAATTAAATTAAACTATTAGTTTTGTAGCTGCTGTTAGTTGCTTGTAGCTTTCTTCTCTTCAGGCTACTCCTCTGGCTATTATTTCTCCTTTTTATCCCACGTAAGATGGTTGCTAGAGTACAGAAATAACTAAGGAGCAGAGCATGTCTTTCAGCCTACTTAGTTGCCCCATTTCTGCTTTCTTCTCTTGGCAAAGATGGGGTGGTTGTGATTACCATCCATCATAATTCTGTTCCATGGAAAGGCTATATATTCTTCTTTGCACTTAGTTTATGAGGACAAAATCTCCAGGAGTGCTATTATGTTGTTTTAACGATTCAGTCATGTCCGACTCCTGGCGACTTTATAGGCAAGTGATCTCTGTGCTACGCTGTCAAGCACAGCTTCTTTCAGTTATTGGATGTTCACCTTTGTATCAGCTTTGACGTTATCAAGCCAGTATGTTCTTTGCTTGTCCCTCCTTCTTGTTCCACTACCCATTCCTAGCATTGCTGACTTCTCCGATGAAGTGGCACGCATGACATGGCCAAAGTAAATCAAGCGTAGTCTTGTGATTTGGGGAGTTCTCTTTAGCCAGGCTGTAATAATTGCCAGCTCTCAGCTTCAGATGGCTGAGAAGGATCTGGATAGCTATTGCAGTAATAAAAGTATCCAATGACATCTGCACATGGACTATAGCCTTAGGAAATGACATATTTGTCTGGAGAAGAGAAACCAAGCCACATGTTATAAACAGAACGGAATAAATAATGAGCTTGAATTGTGGAAAAAATTCTGATAACCCGGTAGAGTGGTAAAGTGATAGAATCTAGACGTGCGTGTTTGTTGGGAGAGTGTAAAGAGAAGATCAGGGAAAAGAAATAGAAAGTCATACTTTACCTACAGCAATAGCTCCCTCTGGAAGGCATGACATCTAGATAAAAATAGGCAGCTTTCTTCTATGGGTTTATGTGC